GGCTATCTATTTGTTGATTCCACGTGAGTAATTATTCCTCCAAACCTAGCGTTATATGTCGAAAGATCTCTCAGGCAGTCCATAACTGCCTCTAGTTCGTAGACTGCGCCATGCTCTTGTTTTTCCATCAAACGAAAGAACAAGTCGGCTCGGCTATTAACACTGCAGAGTTACAGAGGCTCTCCGCGCTCTGTTTTGCATGCTATCCTCATCGAAACTGCCCTTATCTGCTCGCAAACCCTTCATCCAGGCATCTGTTGTCAAGCCTAATAGTGAGGTTAAAAGACTCTAGCTGCGCTGCCGAAAAAGCAAAACGGCAAGCTTAACACGGAGTCGATCTAACGATATCCAGTCTGTAAGCCTGGACCGTTACCAATTCGCGTTCCCGCTTCATAACTCCGTCCAGAGAACAGTTTAAGATATGGAAAGCAGTTCTGAGGTCAGCGTCCCAAGACGCGTCAGACGACCTCAGTTTAGCTACCCAAGAGCTCGATTTCTCATGAAACGGTATGAACCTCATTTCACATGCGACTACCGGCCTGTTGAACTTCCCTGGAGAGCCTACCCTCTCACAAGCTTCCACCTAAATCATTCCTGAGTTCGATTCCTCATAAAATCCGATCACGTCGTAGTTTGAGCTACGCAAAGCAAATAGCGCTCACGCTATTTGCTTTTCAAAACCCATGATTTTTTACTACAGCAACTTTCTCAACCCTTTTTAGAAGCCACTATACAATTGGTTTCTCCACCCCTCTGGCAGCTTGAATTACGCCATGTATAACCGTAAATGAGCAGGGCGCTCGCGTTGTTTAGGCGGTGATGTTTTCGTTTTCGCCTGTCTGCTATTTCTATGCGAACCAATTAAAACGTCGCCAGCGAATTTCACAGCCCATCAATCCGTCCATCAAAGCAGCGATGAGCCGTTACCGTGCTGCTTTATGGACCGCGGCTACAAGCCTCAAACACCACTGCAGAAAAAAATGAAGAAGGCTCTGCTGTAGATTCATTATTTGTCCGCGCAACCAGTCTCACTATGTTGGTGCGAGAAATTAATCAAGTTGTCAGTTTCCGGGTAGTAATCGGTCAAAAATAGTGCGCAACGTCAGGAAATAGTGGGCATCAAAGGTCAGTGGTGATGATAATTGGGCCTGAGTCGAGCTAATTCGTTGGGCAAGAGGAATGTTATGGAAACATGAGACATCTTGAGCTGGTTTCCCTTCAACTCCAGCTGAAGCGATTCCTCCAAGATTTAGCGCCCTGATGTGACCTCCATTGTGAAGGCGCTAAATGAGTACCGAGCTTATTCAACGTGTTGCAGAAGTCGTCGGCTCTTCTTGAGCTTCTACTGGCGATACATTCTATCCCTGATTCCTGCACCTCGGAAACTGCTACAAGCCAATACTCAATTAGTTCAGCGTAAGACTTCGGATATGAGCATACCAACACTGACAGGTACCCTTTCAAAGA